AAATTGGCCGTGATGCTTGACATGAAGTCTGGGGAGAACACTGACTTATCAAAAATCAGTGAAAATAAATTCCATACAAAACGCCCTAAAAGCCTTTTCAGCAAAAATTAATTCCAGCGAAAATAAAGTATTCCACAGTACCCGGGTGCACTGCAATTTTGTCAGCTGCCGCTACCGGACACTGGTTGTTATTGGTGGTATACATTTTTGCCTGTGACTCATAGTTTTTTGCATTTTTATGTCATTAAATCCTTCAAGTTTTCTTTGTTGGAAGTTCGCAATCCATCCCAAAGTAACAACACTGAGAACACAGCGTTCTGGCGTCCGTGTAGGCACCTCACGGTGTTGAGGAACGGTGGTTAGTAGGTTTGTGTGGCGAACGACAATCACCCAACGACCGACGCTCACAACTTGGACCCCACCATTAACAAAAAGCAATATTATAGTTATATAACTTTTCAGATGTTTTTAATTCAGTATTTTTTTCAATATTCTTCCAAAATTCAACGACTATATTTCCTTAAAAATCAAATAATACCGGTTTTATGTATTTCCGTATTAAATCTGTAGTCAATTCATGTTCCAGGGCCACTTGGTTTAGCCGTGCATTATCAGCCAATATACCATGGATTGCATATGCAAATTTTGTGTTTGGACCAATCAAATCAACGGATTAACACCATCAATATACTGGTATAATATAATAGAATGTATATTGTCTGCAGCACTATGTTTTTTTAACTTTGAGTGTCAAAGTCAACATCAGACACCATCCACAAAATAGCTCTACTTATAATCTGCTCTTTTGCACAGAAAATGTTGCAAACATTTCAAATTTTTGGATCAAAAACTGGAAATCATATCACATTGTTTATTAGGTTAAAAACTATGATTGAATTCTGTGAAAATTACAGAAAATGTGAACAAATTTACCCAAATTTGAGCGGGAAAACTATTTAGACACTCAAAGGGTTAACAAGACAGCCATACATGTATGTCCAAAGTTTTATTGGTATGTTATGAGGACAAAAAAATAAAACAACATAATTTTAATTTCTAATTTTTCCAAAATTGAATCAAGACCTGTACTGGGCAAAAGAAAATTATAAAAACTATATAAGAAAAATACATAAAATAGGTGAAATGTTACACCAACTTTCTGGCAAAGAAAAGTATGGTGGTCAAAAGGTAAAGGTAGATGCCTACTCATAAATGAAAAATAAAAAAGAATTTGTCCAAATTTCCTTGTGTCAATAATTAGAGCATTTAAAAAGTTTTGGATCACCAAACTTGGCTACCAATGCAGCCATGTTGGCAGATTTAATTTATTTTGGAACCTTTTTTTTTCACAGTGAAGATCTCAAAATTGTTCATTATATTTTGTGACTGACAGGTTCCTACTTGTATGGAATTATTTTACTATGAAGGACACAGCAACCTTCAAAACAGTATTGCAGTCACTGCCAGTGTTGTTAGCTGAACTGCGGCACCTTATTTCTTCCTAAGGTGTTCAACGAGATTAGTCATGCAAATAGGCATAATTGATATTATTTTGTTAATTGTTGTGGACATCATATTGAATGTGAAATGAAATTTTAACTTTCCATGCTGCGGTGTAACACTTTCGGTCGACTGATTTGATATGCCATGCCACCTCCAGGGGTTAATTGTGGAATACTTAGAATTTCTAAAAATACAATGTACCAGCAGAGCAATTCACAGACAGAAATATGGTATCATATTTTATGAATATATTGATGTAATTCCTACTGTCAATGGTACAAATGTATGACATTACGTTTCTTTGATAAAAAAAAGTATTGGCGATAAGTCACAGTGTAGGAAAGTCAACTTTAGCTTCAACTTACTATCACAGGGTGTTGACTATTTCAATAGAATGAACAGACCTGACTCTCCAACGCCCTAGAGATGGTTACATAGATTGTATTGGAGTTGAAGATGATGTTGGCCAACTATCATTTTTATTTTCACACTTATTAAGATATAATGTAAGAAGCATGAATGTCTGGAGGAACTGACTTTGTTGCAATATTATAATAATATGTTTATAAACTACACATATCAATACTCCAATGCCATTAGCTAGCTACACTGAAATATTGCTTGCTGGGATGCTTTGTTTTTCTCAGTAAGATTGAAAATTAAATAATACTCAAAATTACCTTTTGAAGATTAGAATACTAAAAACAGAACAACATGTGAACAAAATATACCTGTTGTGGGGTAGTGGCAGTGGAGTATCCCATCGGAACGAACACTGGTGCATTCACTGAAAGTGACGACATTGAGTTAGCAGCAGTCTGTACAGTCTGGCTCCAAGATTGGGAAGACTGGGAATAAGTTCCCTGAGCTGGTGGCGGTGTACCTTTGTTGATAAATAAAAATGAATTTATACCTCACTATTACATGCATAAGCCAAGTTATTCCCAGGTGAACAGAAAATACGTCTTTTATACCCTGGTCATTCAATGCCGTTGAGACCTGTGAAGAAGGAACTATTTTCACAGAGTTCCAGTTCTCAAAATAAGGACAAAATAATAGTATTTAAACATGAGACAGAACCATAACATTGATTTTTATCTGAACAGGGGATTCATCAATGAAGCCATACACATGTGCACTGCTGGTTTACCCATTAGCTTCCTACTTGGGAAAACAAAAGGATATTTACACAAAGGGAAATATAAATATCAATATTGTCTTTCAGAACTGGAATTTAGTTTCACATTTAGCATGCCTATGATTTGTCCAAATTTGCATACTGTAGTTAGGCTAGCCTAACTTGGGGATTAAAATTAGGGCCTTCTCAGGCAAGATTTAATTAGACCAACCTGGACATTTAGTTTCATATTCACACAAAAGATTTACATGTAGACATGTAGTCAAAAATGTCTTATTTCACATTGTGAAACCCCTTATTGTGTACAGTATAGCAAATGATATGAATCACCACAACAAGTACTGCCAAGACATATGACATCATTAATGACAGAAATTAAGATACAAGTAGCAACAACAACAATCTATATACTATAAAATTTATCATCATTATAATACTTTTTAAGGTACAATCACTTGATTTTAATTTCAAACAACTCAATTGTTGTCATGCTTACATGTATAAGTAAGGATGATTTAACTAATGCACCTATTTCTATTTATACCATTATACAAGGTGGTTAAAATCAATAAACAACAACATGTAAACTAAATATTAACTGAACGAGGTTCACTAAAATCATGGAATTGTCTCATGCATTTTAAAGGTATAGAGTCTTATTTGGCATGTTAATCCATTATTTTCATGCTAAATTGCAATGAATGGAAACAGAAATGAGTGACTCTGATTTCCAGTGTTATTCAAGAGGACACTCTCTAACTGAGATAAAAATTGAGATAACCGCAATTTTGTTCACAGAATCTCATCCACATTAATATTTTTTTTTATAAATTTGCATGTTTATCTCATGGTGTATTATCATCGCATATCACCCCAGTTGCATGCCTTATACTAGTATATTAGAATAGAATAGTGCCTTATTGACACCGTAAAGAAAATATTACATTTCTTTTTGGGTTATGTACGTCAATTATTATATCTGCCTTTGATTATATGCGACCTGCATTATGGTACATTACATGTATGTAGTTTTTATAAAAAATTCACCAAATATCTGCCAATAATTAAAAATTTTATATTTGTCAACAAAAATGCATTCACATTATTTTTTAAGCAATCGTTCGATTTTTAAATTTCTTACATATACCATGGAGGTAGAAAAGAGACCCTTTTCTACCTCCATGCATATACCTAATTGTTATCATTATCAAAATTTGCTCTATTTTTCATTACAGTGTCTTGTCAGACTCGTACAGAATTGCTAGCTGGGAGTGATAAACAGATGCAGAGCGCTGCCAGGTTAATATACCTAAAAAAAACCCGGAAAAACATCATAAATATTGAATAAACCACACATAAAATAATAACACCTACGGTAATCGGCATCAATTCCAGGTTTAGGTGACCTAAGGGGTTTTCTGGTATACGCATCACGTTGGCTCGAGTCGCCCGCAGCTGGATCACGGCTACTACCTCCGCCTTTGTCTCCTAGTTTTTCATCTATATTCAACGACATGCTTGTCAGAAAATCAAACCCAGATTCTTGTTACCGACCTTTACAGAACTGTAAAGAAGGAAAAATTGCAATTTTTTGAAAATATTCGTGGAACATTTGACACAGCTTTTACCTCTAACAAGATGAAAGCACTTCCTATAAATTTGTTTATTTTCGGTCGTTTCGCGTTCGGCTATTATCGGATCGGAAGAACGATGTTACTTTTAAGTCCAGTTATCTTGACTACGCTTTTCACTAGTTACAGATTACGAAATACTACACCGAGGAATGAAAATAAAACAAAAGTGAACACACACTGGTATATTTTAAACCTTTTGCGATGAAACGTGTCTTTTTATTCCGAAGTTATCCGAACGTTATCGAACGTAACGAATGCAAGTTCATCGGATGACCCGGAAATACTCATGCTAATTCCAATATGGCGAAACGCAAAGGAACTACGGAACAGTCACAAAACAAAGTGAAAAAGCTGAAGAAATCGAGATCACTATCAAAGAAAGTGCCACGAGAACGAAATTCAACCAGCACTTCAACAGAAGGTCTCCTTAAGAAGGTAAATTTACGTGTGTTTTTTTGAAAACCCGCGTTCAATTGTAGGTTTACTCGAAACCTGGAACACGTGTGTGGACTGTCGCTGTGGAGAATCTGCGGACATATTCGTGAATGTGCGCAGTAAGGCAGCACATACACTTCAATGTCAGCGGTACACGTCATGTCCTGTGAAGGGTGCATGGATACTCAAGCAAATTACAATGAATTTGAGTTAAAATTGTCGATCCAATATAATTACGCAAAGTATTTTACAGGACATCGATTTCAAAATGAAAGAATTATTGAAAGTTACCAGTGAGGGTGCTCTACTTAAACGCTCTGGTGAAACAGTGTTAACTATAGACTTGCATACAGTCATTTTTTTTGGGTTTTTTGAATAAAATAAAATATTATATGCAAGTGTTCCTCCAGGATACAAACAGTGTGGCAGTGCGGCATCATGCTGCTCTGAGAAACCGCCATGCTCAAAATCCCTACCGCCATGCTCGATTTCCGCACATTTACCTTTGTCCATGATTTCCACAGTTGTTGTTCTATGAGATGCCTCCTCACTGTTCATAAACAGCCATAAACAATAACCAATGTAATTGAAGTCAAAAGGCTGCTAAGTTTATTTGGGTCAGCATGTACTCGTTAAAAGTGTTGGTTTATTTACTTAATTCACTGATCACGTTGTAGCCGATATCCAAAGTAAAATGTTCGAAGAAAAGATTATTGTAATGTTGAAAATAACTTGTCAATGAAATCGAAAATCGAAAAAAATGTTCAACATGCTTTTCCATTGTAACTGGTGTATAAGAATCAGTAAAACATCACAAATGCAGTCTATACGTTGCCGATCACACCACGACCGATGTCTGATTTGAAAAATTGTTCGAAGAAATGTTGATTCCAATGTTGAAAGTAAAACTTTTTATGAAAGTACTAATGATTAAAACATCAATGAAATAAAAATAATCTTTGCAGGCTTCACAAAAACTTCAAAAAGTTTGACTAGCTTTCCATCATGGCTTTTTGGCCTACCTTATTCAGACTGTAGCCTATCTGCTGTTGAGGACACACTTATCATAAAACTATGTAGAGACAACTGAAATACTGCATTCCGGGTATTAATTGAGGTAACACACAAGCTGCCATGATTGTTTTAATTAATTAACCAAGAATCTTCCGTTACACATTTTGTCACTATTTTTGAACAAATATCAGATAAGTTACTATATAATAATATTTTTCTTGTTCACTGATTTCAGCTACATTTGTATGACTCATGTTTTCATTCTAAATTATAAAATAAAAATAAAATATATAGCGTACACATGTATAAGCAGTTTATGAAAAAAATTTCATATACAAAGCGTCATCTTGATACTTCACGTGTTTTCAACCTCAGACTAGTAATACAACAGACTCGCAACGCGGCGTTTTCTTTTGAAGTAATGCGTGCCACGTTTGTTTAGGTTATCAGTTCTTATCGTACCGAGTAAACGTTGCTGAGCAACAACATTTTCATTATATTTCACAAAATAACGCGAGATCTATTCATATTACAATCAACTATCGCGATGCATCGCGAGACATAAAGACAGGAAGTGGCATAGACGACAGTAGTTGACAGTGAACTTCGAAAATGGCATTTACGGAAAAATTTGGCGAATCTGAGGACGATAATTACGAGTGGGAAGCTATTTTAGGAGAACATTTTGACGAAGATAATGACAATTTCTCTGTAGAACTTTGCAACCCCTGATCGATGTTTTTCATTTCCTGAAATTAAGAATAAGAAGAAATATACTGGGCTATTTTTATACAAAACTATGACGGAAGTCAAACAAAATCAGTGAAACTCGAAATAGCAACAATACTGACACACAATAGAAAATTGAAACAGTCACTGAACACGCGTAAATCG